AAAATACACATGTTCACCCTATTGAGACCAGTTGTTATGGTGGAAACTTTGGCCGCTTTGCGGGACGGGAAAATATCATCAGATCGGAATGAAATTTTGCACAGAACCTTGTACCATAGTATCGACAAGAATTCCGACCCGGCCCGACGAATCCGACAAACTTTTTTTTTTGCCATGAAAATGTGGACCACCCTAATACTTACCCTATATTATTGTTATTATAATTACACAATTTCCCCTGCATTTCGTTGTAATTTTATATATTTTTTTACATCAAATTTAAATTATTTTGAAATCTGAAGCCATAGAAAACAGTAACAACCAAATCTGAATACTGATGCTTAATTCATGTTAAAAGGGAACCAGGGAGTGTGGGGGAGGTCTGGAGTGTCTTGTAATATCTTTAGAAAGTGAAGAAAATTTGTCAAAGTGACATGAACAATCCGTTCATTCAGGCATTTTCTAATCCGCGTATCCTTACGAGGGTCGCGGGTGTGCTGGAGCCTATCCCAGCTCTCTTCGGGCAGTAGGCGGGGAACACCCCGAACCGATTGCCAGCTAATCGGAGGGTACACATACACGAACAACCATTTGTACTCACACTCACACTGTTCCGTTACCCTGCTATGCATATTTTTGGAATGTGGGAGTAAACCGGAGTACCCGGAGAAAACCCATACAAGCACGAGGAGAACAACAACAACTGCGCACAGGAAGGCTGGAGCCTGGTATCAAACCTCTGCCCTGTGAGTGGACGTGCTACCCAGTGGATCAATTTAAGGTAGAAACACTTTATTTGCTTTAGTGATCCACAAAAACAAATTGCATTTGAACCATGTGCACAAGATTTATCACAAAATATCTGATTGGTTACATGAGTGGGAATTCAGTCTCTAAGGCTGACCTAGAAAAGCGCTAAATTACTTCATTTTTATCCCTTTGTGTTGGGTTTTCAAATTGAAAGGGAAATCAATCTGAAGAGATTTTTCAGATTTTTTAAAATGCGCTACGTTACTACTCATGCAAATGTTAACATTTTTCATCCTAAAAAGCAATATCTCACTGAGCGGCAGCGGTTTGCGAGTGTGTGCGCACCGATGGAAATGTTGTCTTTTCGTCAGGGTTCAAGGTCGCAAACGGTCGCAAAGACGCTTGCCAACAGTTTTCATGGTCTCAAACAGTTTTTCTAATGGCAATGAAGTTTTGAACATGTTCGAAATTTGCTACGTGCGCACACAGTTCCAAACCTTTGCCGCTGAGTCAGATATGGGCTTAAAGCATGTATATACCTTACATAAAGACATCAAGTAAAACAGCACAGATTATGCCTACCTGTCAAGACAGACCCTTTCTCTCTCTGTTGCCTGGGATGTGTTTGGTACAGATCAGATCGCTCCTTTTGAGACTCCACCGGTGTTTGGTATAAATCCTGGGTGTCCCCTTGGCCCTGAGACAGATCTAGGTGTTCCAAATCAGAATCCAGCTCTCTCGCTCTCTTCTCCAGCTCTGTCAAACTGAGCTCCGAGGCTGCAGACGAGGGGGGATGGGAGCCTCCAAAGCCTACCGGAGGCCGAAGGAGGGGCCAGCGTTGAAGGGAACCCGATAAAGAATCTGTATCACCTCCTGCTGCTCCCCCTTTCTCCCAGCCATCATCCCATATAGTGTTGACCATCTGGAGCACGGAATCCCAACTCTCGATTGCATGCTCCTCCCCAAAGGATCTTCCAATCTCTGCTTCCACCACACCTTCTTCGTTCTTTACATGTGCCACAAGCTCCTCCGTTTGCAACTGTTGCTCTTGCTTTCCATCTTCAATGTCTCTGTTTTCCATTTTCTCACAGATAATGTCATGATGCCTTTCTTCTACGATTACTTTTATTATTTCATTTCCACTCTCTTGAACGTTTTGTTCTAAGCTTATTTTGATCTTATCTTGTTTGATGTCTTCCAGCAGTTGCTTTCCAACTGTACCCTTTGTCTTGGATACATTCTCTTTAGTTTTATGATTGCTGTCGTCGATCTCTCCAATTTGATCTTTTCCCCCTGTCTCATTATTGTTATCAGTCTTATCGCTTTGTTTCTCCCTGGTTTTACATTTTCTGGGTTCTTCCTGGTCTCTGTAGACTCTCCAGTGCTCCAGGTTCTGCTCTTTCAGGGACGCTCTGCCCACTAAATTGGCTAAATTGGCTTGCTCTTGATGGGAAGGCTCTTTCAGTGAGCTCCGGCCTGTAAAAATGTTCAGATCTGTCGAAAGTGGGTTCTCTGAGTGATGGCCTGGGCGGAAATGGAGATGGGAATGTGGGCGGCGCTTCTCTAAGGCAGAGATTACTGATGGAAGTGGTGGAAGGATGGGAAGGTTATGGATTGCGCCACCTTGCCGAACGGTTCTCTTTCTAACCATGATTCGACGAGGCCAGGTGGACTCAATACCTTCAGCGGGGCCTGTTGATTCCAAATCTGCAAGACCTTTTCGAAGTCGTGGGCTAAGCACCCCAGGTCTCAACCCTGTGGCAGTACCGGGTCGAGACCTGGAACTGGACTTTGAGGATTTGGACTTTTGGCTTTTGGATCCTTTTCCAACATGGCTGGATATTATTTTTCCGATATCCACAGATGTTTTCTGAGCTTTTTCTGGAGGAGCAGTTTCAGTTTTCTCCACAGGCTCTATATTCACCTGGGCTTTATCTATGTTGTTGTTGTTTTCTTGATTGACGGTGTCATTCTTAGTTTTAATTTCTATTTCCTTGGCCAGTCCCACATCAGGTGCTCCCTCCGGCTCATGTGAAGACGCAATCGTTACCTCTTTTTCAAGTTTAGTTTCTAAAACTGCAGCTGGGTCTGAGCTCAACTTTTTAACAATGTTGGTTGCTTCATCTCTTGCAATCTCCACCGGCTCTGGACTTTCTTCCATTTCAGGCTCTGTTTCAATAGCTACCTTCATTCTAAAATCATACACGGTTCCAGTCTCCATTTGATCTCCAAGCACAACCCCATTGTCTACATTATACAAAGTTGATGGTCTCCCCTCAGGAATTGGCTCTGCTTTAGTGACAGCTCTTCCAAATTTTTCTCCACCCTTTGTCCCTCCCCTTTGTCCCTCTCTGTTTACAGCTTTTGACACATTTTCTATATATACTCCAGATTCCACTTTTCCTTCCAAATCTCTCCCCCCTGCTCTTGTTTTCACCTGTGAACCCATTCTTTTTTCAGACCCATTTTTAAGACTAACTTTGGCTCCATTTTCATATTTGTTCCAGCTTCCAACTCTATTTTTTCCATGGATCCCAGTCATGATGTCAGCCTCGACCATGCTTCCACCTCCACTGACTAATCTTGATCCACAACTCGGCTTGCTTTCAACTAACCCTGAGCTCATATTCCCATTGTCAGTTTTAGAAACCATACACTCGGCAAGAGCATCTGAGAATACTTTTGAACCAGTTCTATTTCTACCCACTGCACCAGTGCCCATTCTTGGGGCAGCACTTGGTGAAGGTGAAGGAGAAGGCGAAGGCTGGGGAAGTAAAAGTGGGACTGTGTCTAAGACCTGTTCAGGTTCTAAAAAGACAGAGTCTCTGTCTGAACGCAGAGGAACCGGTCGACCATAACCAAACGTCCCAAAACTTGTTTCCTTCCTCTCCCTTTCTCTTGCTCTCTCTCTCTCCAGTCTTCCTCTTTCCCTCTCTCTTTCCCACTCTCGCTGTGCCCACCCTCTCTCCATCTCCCTCTCTCTCTCCCTTTCCCACTCCCGTTCTCGCTCACCACAACCCCATCCACCTTGCTCCCTCAGGTCCTGCTCAAGGTCATGAGCAGACAGTTGGACCAACGGGGCACGGTAGGGGGAACGTCTAAGTTCAT